GGGCGGGGGGGGGGGTCGGGTGGGGGATGGGGATGGGGATGGGGTGGGGGTGGTTCAGTCTTGTTTTCATCTACTTTCCTTATTATGACCCAAATTCCTTTTCTTTTTGGAAAAAAAGAATAGTTACTTTGCCACTGTATATCGAGTATAATTGCTTGTATGTAATTTTACACCCAGATCCACAATACTTGAAGCTTATCCTGTTGAACAGTGTTGAAACAGTTAAATCTCAGGAGATTGCTGAAGGTGTATTTTTCACCATGATGCTCACTAAGTCTAAGAGAACCGGGGACAGGTTACGGTCTTAAAGTGCTGTGTTTGGGTGTCTTATGACAGGAATCATCAAGAACACATGACGGTGCTTGCAGATTTCCACAGGAGGTAGAGGGTACTGGACATTCTGGAACTGAAATGACAGGCTGTTGAAGTGCCTGGCACAGTGGGTACTGGGAACTGGACCTGAGCCCTCTAAAACAGCAGTAAGTACTCCTAACTGTTGAGCTCTCTCTCTAGCCCCTAGAGTCCAGTTACTTAAACTATAGGTCACAATTCATATGAGGTCTAAGGTGTAAGGGCTGTCGAAAGATTTATCAAAAGGTTTCTGCAAGAAAAATGGCCAACAATTCATTCAAATCAAATGCATAATGAATGTGAGGTGTCTCTGTTAGTGCTTGTTGCTGTTCTGTTACGTGACATTGTTTCAGCCTTAGCTGTGAGCATGTAACACAGGCACTCTGCACTGCATGTGCCAGCAATGCTGCCCCAAACACCTACCTTAGATTCCTCGGTGTCTTCACTGCACACACAAAAGTTTTCTCTTCAGAGAAGCCCAACGGTCCAATTATAGAAAATGGACTTTTAATATTTTTCTACTAGCACTCTTCAGCGTAGACATACAAGACTGGCAATCTTTGGACTCTGCTGTTAGAATGTTTGATTTTAAAAATTGCTGTTTGAAATGATGGATTGAGTTTTATAAAAAATTATTACATGAATTTTGGATTGGGACAGCTTTTCCAACAATTTCTGGAATAGCCCAAAACATACATCTGCCATCTTATGTTATGTATTCATGTGAAGCAGTTTTCTTAGCACTGATGATTATAAAATAAAAAATTAATCAACTCTGAAAAACATGGAAGATGTTCTCTGCCTGGCAGTATTAAACATCGAGCTGATATGGATTAAAGGAGTGCCTTATTCCCCCACTGCCATGATGGGCTGAACCCCTTCAAACCATAAGCCAAAATGAATCTTCCCCTTAAGAAGTTTCTTAACAGATATTGTGACCAAATACCTGAAGTAGATGGACAGGTAGAAGGCAGAATGGCCTATTTTCAATGCTCAGCTTCCACAAAATTATACCCACCTGAAGCAGTTTGCCATCCACACCGTAGATGCCACCTTCCACACCGTGTGAGAGGAGTGCCACTATGCAGGAGTCTGTGACCCGGTGTGCAGGTAATTGTGCAAACTTCTGAAGTTTCTCTTGCATTTGCTGGAAGACAGAGACACCTGCTAGTGTTGCTCACTGCAGTCAGCATCAACACAGATATTAACCTATAGCTTGCTTGAAAGAAAACCTACCTACTAAAAATAAATGTATTTTCCTGTATATTCCTGTGGTTGCTGATAAGATACAAACTCTCTGAAAGGCTAAAGAAAACTATGCACTCACAAGAAAAATGCACACAACGTCAGACATCAAATTCTGAACATGGAGTCACAGGTTCACTGAAATTGATAAGAACTCCCGAATCAAGGTGAATTACTAAAGAAACTACAACCTTGTTTGTGGGGGGGAGAGAGCTCAGTAGGTAGGGTGCTTGCCATTAAAGCCTGAGGTTTAGAGCTTGTATCCCAGAACATTAGTAATGCAGGGTGGTCATTGGGCTTGCGTGTGTTTAGTCGAGTTGGGTTCAACTGAGAGGCCTTGCTTCAACAAAGTAGAAAGTGATGAAACCTAAACATATATGAACACAAACACGTACACGTTTTAAAAAAACAAACAAACAAAATGCATATCGGTTCATCTTATTATGACACGAGGGAAATACTACAAAGATGAATTTGCTTCTAGGCAGACCAGTCACAGCCTCACACTTCCAAACCCTCTACTCTCAGTAAGCAGCTCACTCGTTCACATTTTGGAGCTTCTAAAGGAGTGGTTTCACAGAGCAGCGCCCGCAGCAGCACTCAGAACTTGTGCAAAATGTGACAGAAAGGCTGAGCTTCAGCAAATGGTTTTCATAAACCACTAACTCTTTCAAAGTTTAAGTATTTCAAAGTTTAAGAGTTGCTAATCAAAGCCAAGCATGGTGGCGCACGCCTTTAATCTGGCCAGCACTCCTGAGGCAGAGGCAGAGGCAGGCGGATCTCTGTGAGTCTGATTTACAGACTGAGTTCCAGGACAGTCAGGACTGTTAACACATAAAAACCTGTCTCCCAAAACAAAACCAAACAAACAAAAGAGTTGTTGATCTTCTGCTTGGAAATACTTGGGGTTTTTTTTGTTTGTTTGTTTGTTTTTGTTTTTTTTTTTTTTAAAAGACAGGGCCTTATTATATACCTCAGGCTAACCCAGAACTTACTATTCAGCCATTCTGGCTTTGAACCCTCAGTCTTCCTGCCTCCGTTTTCTAAGCTGTTGCAGGGACCTCAAACACTCATTATCATACTTGGCGTATGTGTATACTTCTGATTAAATACGCTGTAATATAACTAGAGATGGTGAAAATAGTTTTGGTGAGAAAGCAAGAGATTTTTCTGTGTAAGCAGAAGCAAGCCATAACACAGCATTTGTTTATAAAATACGTAATTTCACAAAAATGAGCTAACTGCAAATGCTCTACAGAGTCGAATTTTAAACCTGTTGATTATAACAGTAAAGAGGAGACAATAAAGTTGAGAACATACATACTTTGTAACTGAACATAAAATAAATCATTCAACAAATGTGTTTTGGTGGATTTTTCTACAAGTGACATACCTTAAAATATGATCTGCAGATTTATTTTTTTATAAAAGTACAATACTTCTATAAATAGTAGGGTTGTAGCTCTTGGGTATGTTTTGGCTGGGGGCCGATGGCCACATGAGGAGTGTACCATCTATAAATAAACGCAAAGCTGTATAGATAAGCTGCCACTTTCCGGGGATAACCCATACAATATCCTTACATTCTCCTAGCCATCTGCAACCCAAATGCACACTAAAAAGCAATAGCATATGGTGAAAGTAAAAGTTACCACTTTAGAACACACCTCCATTCACTAATATGCTAAACTGTGACTCAAGAGTCAAGTTACCTCCCGAGGTAGACACAAGGCACATTTGATGACAGACACTGAATACATAACTAAATGGTAAAAGCACTAGTGTGCTCTTCAGCACCAACAGCAGGAAAAGATTCTCCACAATTAATTACGCTATTTTATATCTGAAGGGAATTAACACTAGTCAAGAAGGACTGATGATGATAAAAGAGGACCTTAGATTTCTTTCTTGGTTCTTTCTGTTTCTCTGCTTGCCACATATCAAAAGATAGAAAGGCAGTCTTTGGAGAGGCCTGATAGGAAGAGGGCATTCTGCACACTCCCAGTCAGCCAAGCACAGCATTCACAGCAACCACCGGCTTAGGGCATGTTCCTATCATCCGCACACTGCCCCCTCGGCCTAGGCTGTCTCCTCAGGAGCCCCTCTTCCTCCTGCTCTATCTACCCTCTCACCTCATCTACTCAGGTGTTTTCTTACCGTCACCTCCTGTAAGAATGGAGGCTCCAGCTCTATTAGTGACACAGGGAACAGCCTGACGTTGAGCGCTCCCTCCATTCCATCCTTGAACTCAGGCCCACATTCAATGCGTGTGTGCTCACAGCCCTCAAGTACAATGCGTGTGTGCTCACAGCCCTCAAGTACAATGCGTGTGTGCTCACAGCCCTCAAGTACAATGCGTGTGTGCTCACAGCCCTCAAGTACAATGCGTGTGTGCTCACAGCCCTCAAGTACAATGCGTGTGTGCTCACAGCCCTCAAGTACAATGCGTGTGTGCTCACAGCCCTCAAGTACAATGCGTGTGTGCTCACAGCCCTCAAGTACAATGCGTGTGTGCTCACAGCCCTCAAGTACAATGTGCTCAAAATTTACCTTCACTGCCACTCAAGTGACAGAAAAACTTGGTAATGAAAATTCAGAAGCCTCTGAATCTGCCTTAGATACAGTCTAAATGGAAATGGCTTATAAAAAGTATAGTTCATGGACTCATAAAGTCTCCTGATGTCTCAAGAAACAGCAGCATTCAACTGTATTAGTGACACAGTATTGAATCCTTTCCCAGGTATCAAAAAATCCATTATCAAACATGTTATTTAGAAAACCATGACAAAACAGTTTCCTAGAAAATTATAAGGAATGAACAGACCATACCCTTAGAAAACAAACATGGCATAAATCTGGTTAGGTGACCTTCCAAGTCCCTCAAAGTAACTGAGGTGGACAAGCTACCTACTTCAGTCCCCTTGATGGTGGAAAAAGTTGTTCCAGCTATGGGCTTTTGTTTTTCCTGGTGCAGGGGATTAAATTCAAGGCTTTGCATATGCTAGGCAATTGCTCTGACCACTAAGCCACAATCTCAACTCCCAACCACTGCTGTGAATCAAGAATGGACCTATTTTAAATATGCAATTATGGGCAAGCCGGCAAGAGTACCATGTCATGAAGGGCACTGAGGTACCTACCGATGAAACTACCCAAAGTGTAGCCAATACTTAATTCTTCTCATAGAAGTGGGACAGCCAAGATGACCACAACAAACTTTCAAAACAAAACCAGGATCCTCTACCTCAAGAGACCAAAGAGAATTTTTTTTTAAGACAGGGTCTCACAGGCTGCCCTTCAACTTACTATGTAAAGGCTAGTCTTAAAACTTTTAACTCCTGATTCTCCTGCCTCACCACGGCTTAGAATTTTAAATTATACCTCTGATAAGCCCAGAGACCAAGTTTAAGAACATACTATTACAGAACAAAACCAGTTTAGAATAATACACAAACGGGTTATTATCACTTTTAAAACAGAAATTCCGAAAGTAGCACTGACACCAGTGAAGCTCAGAAACAAGTCAGTGAGGGGCAACCCACCACAAAATGCTTACGACCTGTGAGAACTGATCGGGAACAACCTACTCTAAGACATTCCAACACTGACTTAATCAGACCATCACTAAATAGTATTTGCATATATTCTTCCACTTGCAGGAACTGAATATGCCAACAGTGATGATTTAAACAACAATTGGGACCTCAAGACACGGTATCAACTGTGAAGTCGATGCCCGTGTAGCCTGATTTATAAATATCCTTTCCAAGTTTGTTTGGAACGACCTCGGTGTCTCCTCAATTCCTGAGTGACTGGGAGTCAAGTTTCTGAACACATAAATGTGGGAAGCCAATCCTCAACTAAGGAATTCCATGAAAGCACAGCTACCCTGAGACAGCAACGCTCAGATGACTGGCTGGCCCTACTTCTGCTTACTAGACTACAGCGCAACAGAGAGTGGGAAACATCCAGCCGGTGCAAGAGGAACAGAAGCGCCCAGCCCCAAAGTGCAGCCCACCCTGATTTCCCTGCCAGCCTTTCCAGCCGCAGGTACCTGTGCAGTCTGGTCGTGTAGAACATGGACATTATAGCCCAAAAGCTTGAAGAGCGTGACTAGAGTATTATGGTCCACATCCCCTCCAGAGCGAAATTCCAGGTCTTTCTCTCCAGTGAAGTGCACATTACTCAACACCAGCGCCAGGCCACGAGGCTGAGACTGCAACTTATAGGCCTAGAAGGAGGAGGCCAATTAGACCAGGAGCTTCTTGATGACAGGTAACGTGGTTACCCTATGAGATCGAGCATTTCAAAACACACCCCAAACAACAACCCTCGTCCCCAAAGCAGACACCTTCCGAAATCTACTGGTTTTCACCATACTGGGTAAAAAAGAAATGCCACAGAAGGTACCGATCAGCAATGACTTTCTGACAGAGCAGCAAGAAAACATGCAAACCAGGTTCAGAAGAACAGGAAACCTCTCTCACTCCCCACCTCATCTCTCCTTCTCTCCTTGAAATTATGCAAACTCACCAGCTGGTAGTGTGCCTGATAAAACTCAGGAGTGCATGGCTTCACCTGAAGGCAGGGAGGACCATCACCATTATCTAGGGAGTGTTCCATAGTACCTGTAGTAGGGAAAATGCCAAAAGCTGGTACACATTTCAGCACTGCTCATTGTAACTCCAATAATTAATCATTTTAGCTGTAGCCAGTCCTTTAAACTGAGGTTTTAATGAACACCATTCTTAGTCCTCCAACACATAAGCCCCATGCTGGCACAGACCCTGTTGGCTTTGCTCTTCACTGGGCCCCCACATGTGGCTTCATACCGTAGATACTCAACTCAATGATGAATGATGGAAAGGGCTTTTAAGACAAGCCTGGCTTTCAACACCTCAATAAAGACAGGGAGCCCTGAGTGTAGTAGCCTTTTCTTGCTTGGCTTTAAAGAGAAGACAATTCAAATCACAGTTCCCACCTGAATAAGTTGCACAAGAAGGCAATTATTTTGAAGAACACTTACTACCTGTAATGCAGGGTCCAACCTGTATTCCTTCTAACCTGCCCTGGGAGCCTGTCAGAAGTTCATAAAGAACTGTTCCTATCATGAAATACACCTCACCTTTAGGGGCAAGCCAGACACCATTCAGAAAGCAGGTAAGTCAGTGGGGGGGGGGGGCGGGGCAGTGTCCCTTTGTCATTCTCACCTGTGGACAGGCGGAGCTGCTTATGAGGGGGGCAGCTCTCACACACCGAGAAAGGGAGACTTGTGTCATTGTCACAGCCCAACTGTAAGAAATCAAGACTCACCATCAAAGACTTCGCAGAGATGGTTCTGTCCAAATCAAACAAAATCAAGCCCCCCCCCCCTCTCTGTGCCCCCTGCTCTATATCCCTGCTGGTCAAACCCATCCTGGGATATATTCTAGGGCTTCATACCGGTGGGAGTACATGCTGAATATCAGACAGAGTTGTGAGCAGTAAGTCTTCCAAGTGACTTTGCCTGGTCTCTCGAAGGGCCTCACAAAAGGCATCAAAAGCCTGGGGTCCCCTCTTGGGCAGCAGGTTGAGGAGTTCCACATTCTGGCTGAAACTGCCCCCTTTGGCCTAAGGCACACACACACAAATATAACGTTAAATTAAATTTCCTTATCCACTTATAAGTGCCACATTCCACATGGGCTTTCTAAGCAGCGTTCTCATTCATCTTGGGAATTCCTTTTTACAAGAGTGAGTTTGCACAGGTGAGGTTTCCGGTCAAACTCTCAAAGCTGAGAAGGGCATTGCACTTCCTCAGCCAGGGAGCCCATGGACATCCTTTTCAAAGGTTTCTCTGTCCCCCACCCCTAAGATGAGTCTGCCTTCCTTGGCACCTTTCACCTCGATACCTGGATGAGCTCCCTCATCTCCAAAGTGATGATGTCCTTTTCCAGGAGATGTTCTAACAGTTCGCTCAGCAGCAGCTGTTTGGCCAGCACCACTCTGTTCTTTTTCAGAGTTTCCTGATGGTCAGGATGCATACCACACACAGCCAATATCCTACAGACAGAGGGATGGAAAAGTGTAAGCCTGGACGCAGAGGAGGAGAGCAGTGGGTAAGAAGAACAAAATGGAACAAAATGGACTCAGGCGCAAAACGAGACATATTTTGCTGAACCTCTTTAAATCAAATATACCGAGAAGTAACGTACTGACCCTAAGCAAATAAGGTATAATTCTCTAGAGAAAGTTTGCACGGGACTATCTGAAATTATAATCTGACTAGGAGATGAAATCTTGGTCAAATTACTATCAAGAAGCACAAATGTATCCAAGATAAGAAACACTCCCGATAGACAAAGCTCTATGGTTCAGAAAACATGACACTCCTTTTTCTTAGAGAACTTACCTAAGTCAAAAACAATCTTAGGACAGGAATAAAGCATAAAATGTAAATCCAACAGGCATGTTTTTAACACACACACACTTTCTCTAGACCACTCACACAAGTTGTATCAAAAATATTTCGCAATTCCACGATAAACTAATAGTAAAAGATGATCAAAATCGTATGAGGTAGATAGGTATGAGGTAGGTAGATACCAATCATGAACACAATATAACTTGTAGTCACAAGGACAGTGCACGCAATGGTTAAATTATTTGGTGAGTTAGTTTACCAGCAATATCTGTATTTGAGTCCCTAGTTTTGCTCTCAAGTTTGCTCACAAATAAAAAAAATCCCATTCCCAAAACATGTCCTCTGAGGGCCCAGCCCAATGCACATAAGCCCAGACCTCCAGTTTGTTTAGTGTGAACCAGGGCTTAGGGTCTGATGGCAGGAGATATTGTAACAAGTTCATTTTATACAACAAAACAGATTTTTAGATGCCTCATGATTTCAAAGAGGGTAAAACTATAGGGTAACAAATAATCAGTGAATTACCAGCACTGGCCAAATGTCCCTAGCTTGAAGGGTCTACAGTTGGATGGAAAAACAGGGTCCTGGGAAATTGGTTTTGCAGGAGGTACAGAAGCATATCAAGTAGAATGCCTCTGCTTCCTCAAAATTCACTAGAACCTGTTACAGCAACATCTACATGGAATCTAAAACTTCAGCTAAGAATCACCTTACAGGACAACAACACAGTCACAGAACTAAATATAAGATCTGGTGAAAACAAGATCAATACCGCAGCTGCTGGCTGGGTGTATCCTTAGGTACACAATCAACGGTGCAGAGGAGTTCTCAGTTCATCAGCAACATTCACTGCCTAAAAAGCTCCTCTTCCCTCAGCTTCCACACTACCTCTCTCCAGGTCCACACAGCTCAACACACTCTGGTTTCCTTGAGAGGCCATATGGCCTGTTCCCCACCACCCCTTCACTTTGATAGGAGTAGGTGGGCCTGGAGCTGTGTGTAGCCCAAACAATTCTTGACCCTCTTGCTTCAGCCACCGGGGCGTCAGGCTTACAGCCCGGTAGCTGTTAAATGCTGACACTGCACTAGCAGCACCCTTGAAAAAAAAATAAACAACAACAATAAAAACAAAACACACACACAAAAAGAGCCTCTTCCCTGGGCAATTCCATCCACAACAACAAAGAAGAGCCTCTTCCATCCACAGGCACAACTTACTGGCTCCAGTCCTGAGTCCCAAACTGTCACCCTCTTAAGTCCCCGGCTGCCACCAGCTTTTATCTGAAGCACCACCCACCGCGCACACCTGCTACTTCCTTATTTTAAGAGTTTCCAAGAATCACCTGGAATTTTGGAAAAGCTGTGGAAAGGAGAATTGGGAGTTGTTGGGTGGGGGGGGGGG